CCTCATCTCATCTCTTATTTTACACTAAGTTTTAGTATTTCTTAATTAATTATTATACCTCTCTAACCATCTTAATTAATAGCTTGGTTATCCAAAATCCACAAGTCAATCCCTTATTGGTTTTTGTTTACGTGTTGACAATTTTGGAACGTGTTTCTTCTTTCAGAAACACTCCAAAATTAGTAGTACCAGCTAATATCAAATTCCAATCGTCTTCTTATTTGTTTCTTTGTATTGGCTAATGAATACTACAAATATATAGTACGTACCAAATAAAATTATTATAAATTATAAAATTAATGACTAATTGAAAAAATATTAATGATTTTGATTATCGAAAAAAATACTGTTAATGTATATATATCGAAAATTAGTAACTAAAAGTACATTTATAAACTGGAAATAAATATGTCAAATTCTCATCGAATAAATATTAAAATTTGGATGATGGTGATTTTTTTTTTTTTTTGGATGATGGTGATTTTTTAAATTAGTTCTATATCTTTAGTTCAAACAAGACCAGTAATATTTAATAAGATTACTGAAACTCTTCTGATATTGTTAGATATGAGTAGATTATTGAAACAACCTGAATATAAATGAAAGTTGGAATTAGAAAGATGTAGTTAGGTTTGAGAATGCCAAAATGGAACAAACTTGGGTCGGCAATTGCATAAGCAAAACTCACACAAAGGTGGCTTTCTAAAAGATAACTATAATATAGAATTTAAAGATTGTAAAAAGAAAAATAAAAATTGAAGTAGAAAACTAAGGAGAAAAAATAAGAGAAGAACTAATAAAAGCAAAACAGCGAAAGGGCGCTGGACGTAAAGTAGTTAGCAGTTAGTAGGTAGAGATTGTGGTGGGATGAGAATTTACGTGGGGAAGTTTCATCACAAGCCCCAACCTACCAACGTCTCGAAACTCTTTGTATATACTCATTTACTCTAAAAATGTTTCCACTACATTTTCAGAGATTTGGTATTTAAGGGTTAAAACTAATGTTTACGTAGTTTGTGTAATTAACGAACGATCTATCATATTTATGTAATCGAAAAGTTGTGATTGTATAGAAAGATCCAAAAGATGTCTTGAATATATATTACGGAGTGTTTTAATGTGAATTCATTAGTTATAAAATTAGGTTACATGTTAGGTCTAGATAACATGTAACCTTACTCTTATTTTAATGAGAATGAACATAATTCTTTCAAATACAAATTTTCTAGAAAGTGATGATTGAGTAATGCGGCTTATTATATGTGCATATAATTCCTCAAGTTTGCAACCATTCTTTTTTTTTTTTTTTTTTTTGTTAGGGTTTTTAGCCATTCGGTTGCAAAGTTGCACTTGATTGAGCTGTGAAATTCTGGCTCTTAATTTCATACAGTGATTCAACCATTTGATTTGATGTTTCTTTTATGGGAAATTGGAGTGTATAACCAACAAAAAAACTATAATTCACAAACTAACCATACTAACCTATTACCTATAGTATTCTCTATATAATCTATATCAATACCAATTTACCCTTTATAATATTCAATATATTAATATATAATTTATATTTTATCTCCATTACAACCATCTTTACCACCAACACTAGCACTACCACACCACCATCACTACCACCACCACCACTATCATCGCTGCCACCGCCACCACCACCAACATCATCACCGTCACCACCATTACAACCCTCTATCATCGTCACTACCACCGTTATCATCACGACCATCACCACAACCACTATTACAACAGCTGCCACCACCATATCTACCATCACCACAATCTTCATAACCACCACCAACGACATAGCCACAACCACTGTTAAATAATATGCAGTATACTATTCCATTTTATATGTGTCTATATAGGGTGTTGTCTTTTTTTTAGTAGCAAGACTATTCATCATATTAAGATTTTCATATCCGATTTTAAAAATTCAAACTATATCGAATGCAGAAAAAAAACTGAACTTTTTTTTAATAGATTTTGGAGTTCAATTTAATTTTGCTGAAAAGATATGTTATCACTAAATATAAAAGGGTAAACATATTTTATTCCAAAAAGTAAAACAAAAATAATAGAAACAAAATAAAGCTGGTCTTCTCTTTCTTCCTTATATGCGCATCAGTTGATTTGAAGAGTGTTTTTATAATCTTACTGGATCCATTGGTTAGTCTCTTTATTTTCTACTTTAAGGTGCTATATTCTTTATTTTGTTATCAAATTTGGTTATTGAGCTAAATCACCCTTCTTTTATTGATGATGATGATGATGACTGATGAGAAGAGAACAATTCAATACCGCTCGCTGCATTTATTTCTTCTCTAGGTCAACCTCTGTTTTTTTATCTAATTATCTACAATCAATTTAGTACTAAAGAAAATAAAAGGTTAAAGAATAAAACTTTTGTGTGGCTAACGATTGACGAATCAAGAAACCTCCGGGCCCAATCTGCGTGTCAACTTGAAACTTGAAAAGTGAAAAAGGGTCGAGAAGAGAGTCGTCAGGGTAACACACGTGTCAGAATATCAGATGTTTTGGTACTTTTGCCATGTAAGATGATGAACATGCGTGTCCGTCTGAACAAGGAAAATCATTTTGTGAAAGAAAAAAAAAACACAAAATTGGTAACGCTCATTGTATCAATTAAAAGCTCAATGAATGAAACTGAACTAACCTAGAGCCACGTGTTCGTAAATTAGGATCGTAATTTGATAAAGACCACACGAAAGTGTTTAAGATTCCTTCTTTTGAGTTCAGAAAGTTGACTTGACTTGAGTTGCATTTTCCGTTAACCTAATTCGATTTACCCCTTATATAAGAATAGACTCTTTTTTTTTTTTTTTTTTTTTTTTTTTTTTAGACTTTGTTGAATAAAGATAATGATCCGATGGATCTTAGATGGCTGTTCACCACCGACTTTCGGCCCTATCTTAAACTGATTATGTAACAATTAACCTCGTAATCATTTTAAGAGCAGACTCCTAAGTGAGTGGTTTTATGGTGCGGACTAAGAGATGAGACATGCAACATTTTCTGGCTCTGTGCGAAAACGATCCTGCAACATTTGGTGGATGATCGAGAGTATTCAGAAGCGGCATTTCATGGAGGTCACTTTCGAAGAGAATGCGAAATAGTTTAGTGGAAGTACATATTGAACAAGGCAGATAGTTTGCTAAGTCTATTTAATATTTATTTTACATGAGATTGAGAAAACCTGACAAGTCTTGATTAGGGTGGAAGTTACATTTAGACCAAGGACTCCAATAAAATAACATGTTTTTAAGCAACAAAATCCTTTTGAGGAATATGCACTTGCAGTAGATTCTTGTGTACCAAATTGGTAAAGGGTTTGGTTAACAGCTATAAACCAGCTATGTATATTGGTGGTAAACGATTAATCAGCTATGTGTAGCAGTAATCATCAATAAAAACCTTCTGGTGAGAAAAAAAGTATATCTAACATAGTGAAGGTATGAGAAAGTATCACTGGCCAACCACCTAAGGGCCTTATTTTTGTTTCAACATTGTTCGGCCCAAATATCTCTGGGTCAAGTCCATGAATATATTTTCTTCCTCCGAATTTACGTGGTTCTAACTTCCAACTCCTAAACACGATAATTTATTCAACAAAAATTGATAATAGCATATATAAAATATAATTATAGAGGATAAATTTTATAAAAGACAGAATAAAATGAGGCTTCTGTTGTGTCTGTTGTCAAAAGTCAAAGTGCGAAATTTACTAAATCACTCTATTTGTCGAGTCGAAATGGCGTCATGCTTTAAATTCAGTAAAAAAAATCTGGTGAAGGATTAATCGACAATTACATTAATTCTAGGAAATTAGTTGGATGATAAAACTCGGAATCATTTTTGTGAAACAAAAAAAATTGCTAGGAGAAACAATTCTTCCAAAATAATTGTTAAATATTAAAATTAGATGCATGACCGACCTACTATAGGTCCCACTTATGGAGAGATAGATAGTGGATCAGACACCGAAGGACTGTTCATTGCAACGTTGTACATTTTTGAATCCACATATTTATTTTCGTGCAAAACAATCATTTACACGTTTATTATTTTCTTCTCGATCTCTATCTTCATCTTTTATGTAAAAGAGTTATGTGGAAGCAACCTTTGGTTTAATGTTGAAATTGGTTCAAGGGAGGATTAGCATTCCAGTTTCTGTTTACGTTCCGGCGCCGGTTCATCGTCATACTTAGACATTCTCTCCAACCTCGGTTAAACCCTATTCTCTACGTTAATGATCTGGAAACTATGTTTGACGTACGAGAGCTAATAAGGCTTAATGAACCAAAGTTAAATCAAACAGCGAAAAGATTTATACTTTTGAATGAATACTAAATTCGCGACAAAAGCTTCAAAAACTATAATAGAAATCGATTTGGGTGAAAATCAAATTTAGGGTTCGACTGGATGTAGATTTGGAGGATTCGAGCAAAGGCAAAATGAAGTTTCTATTTTAAACAGTAAAGAATAACAAAGGTATTATCCTCGTTGACAAACAAACAAAACAAATTATCCTTGTAAATATATAGATATTGACATTGTAGATGCGATAGGTCCATGTTTATAAAATTATAATATAGAATTTTAATTTGGTTAAACGTAATTAATGATTGTAAGCTTATATCTTATATATACTAGCAAGCTAGAACCTTCAAGGTTTGAATAATTTTTTATGTTGCTAAAATTTAAAAGTAATCTTATCTTTGTGGTGTAAGTTACCTAGAGTATAAGTATTACCCGTTGTGATTAAAAAGAATTATTAATCATTTGACTTTAATGTTGATTGAAAAGAAGGATGTTTTTTTTTTTGTTTTTTATTTTATTTTTTAGAAATAACGTGCTGAGCTATGATTAATAAGCAATATTGTAACGATTATGATATGGACACAACTTTTGACTTGTAGGATTTTCACTACCTTATTAATATGCTCTGGAACGCCTATAAATACCTTCAACATATTGTGTCATATTCATCAAGAGCACTGCAAAAGCACTCTAAATTGGGGGGAAAAAAAGCATTACCAAACACCAAATAAATATGTCTCTGAGTAACTTTTCATCACTCATTCTAATAACTTTGATATTGGCCACATCAGCCCTGGTCTCCGAGAGCCGGGTCGCAAGAAAAGACTTGGGTTTGGACCTCGGCGGGATAGGGATCGGTGCTGGTATTGGCATAGGTATCGGTGGAGGTGGATCCGGATCCGGAGCTGGTGCCGGGTCTGGATCCGGAGGAGGAGGGTCAAGCTCTTCTTCCTCATCTAGCTCTAGTTCTTCTTCCAGCTCCGGTGGTGGAGGAGGTGATGCAGGATCCGAAGCTGGATCCTACGCCGGATCACGTGCCGGGTCTGGTTCGGGAGGACGTTCCGGGTCAGGCCGTGGAAGAGGAAGTGGAGGAGGAGGGGGTCACGGTGGAGGAGGTGGAGGAGGAGGGGGTAGAGGTGGAGGAGGTGGATCCGGTAACGGAGGAGGGTACGGTGAAGGCGGTGGATATGGTGGAGGATATGGTGGTGGCGACGACTGAATAAAGAATATTGCATGCATGCAATATCACATCGGTGCAATATTGTGTTTTATACGTCATTATATTATGTTATTAGTATATGAAAAAATAAAATGCTAGAAAAGTAAATTTTCTAAAGTGTGTGAGTAAAGGAGATGAAAAAGGATGAATTCTAATGTGTTTGGTTACTTATTATATACTCTTCGATATTCGGATTGGATTCTTGGTGTTGTATATGTTTTACTTTTGTACTATAAGTTGTAATTTCCCAATTTAAATAGTTGAGAAAATAAATGTTATGTAGCATTTGTATTCCTTTGTTTTTTTTCCCTTCGTTATTTTGCTTATAGCAGCAAATAACATGCATATAACCTAAAATATGATTTTATGTATATCAAACAACTGAAAGAGCAAACACGTTTTGGAGACTCGTCGTTCAGCTAAACAAAAAAAAGACATCAACCAAACAAATTAAGGTTATATCTTGAACACAATTCAGCTCTGTTTTGTTTATTTTTTTAAGAATTCGATTTGCATTTTTATGTTTTGTCATGTGTTAGGTTCAATATCTTAGATAAAAACATGTATGTAAAAAAAATATGATAAACGAACCAATCCGTAATATACCTAATTTAGAGATGTATTATCTGCATAAGAGCTTCTGATATCTTAAGAGCACCTTAAAGTTTAAACTCAAGCATAAGATTTAGAAGTCGTTTACAATTACTGGATTTAACTAAGCAAACGTGTTTGTATTAGATCCAAAGAATATTAAATAGCATGATCGTTATCATAATTAGAACTATAACATACTTACAATTAGTTGAATCCAGTGATTAAAATAACCTTATTTTACACCTTTCTTAATTTTAAAAAACTAAACACAGATTCAAAATTGAAAAAATAAACATTTAATTTATGTTTAAACTTATCAATAAGTATTGGTGTCAGCAAAAATGTTTTGTAAGTGACAGCCAGAGAATAATTTTCTCTGTAATCAGTGATTTGTATATTCTATATGAGGATTGAACATTATGGGTCATTCATAGCAATAAAACATAACCAATGTGAAATGTATAGTTTCGATCTTTCTCGAACAATGATTTAAGCACGTGTCATAGGTTGAATAAATAATTCATAGCGGAACCATAGATTAGTGACCACATACGAGTGATTGGTTTCAGCGTGCATAATCCACTGCCACGCTTCCACTCAATTTAGTGGACCGTCGACTCTGGTGGGTTTGGTAGCAGCAAAAGATAATGCACACACATCACCGGCATCCACATTTTAAAAATATGCACTCGCCGGCCAGTTCTATTATCCTGAAAGTTTGGTTAGAATTAAACTAAAGTGAGATAATACTCTTATTATGCATTTCAGATTGATGTAATACTGTAAAATGTAATGACGTAGTGAAACCTCAATTTTGTCACTAAACGAGTTTTACTTCATCAGTAATAAACCTTGCGAATTGACTTGGGTTTAGCTAAGACTTATTTTCTTACATACTTTGTAATTCATCACACCTCGGAATGCAATTTCATTTTGCATCTTGCCAATCAAAACACATTTATCTAGACTAGAAATGTGTTTAATTAGTATTCGTGGTTCTTTAATGTAAGTATGAGTAAACTTATATATAACAAACCGAAATATGATATATTTGGTGATTTACACGTAACGGCTCACACTATCCCAAAACTTCTATAAATACACGAACATGTTATTCATTTTTGTATCTAATCAAGTTACACTATAAACTCAAATACATCGATCGGCAAGTCTTAACACACGAAGATTTCCAAAATGGCTAGGGCCCAAGGTCTTTTTCTTCTTGGTTTATTAGTTATTTCAAGTTTAGTTATGTTAACCGAGAGCCGAGTCGCAAGAAAAGACTTGGGGATTGACCTAGGCGGGATTGGAATCGGTCTGGGCGTTGGATTGGGGATTGGTCTTGGCGGCGGGTCGGGCTCCGGTGCTGGTGCAGGTTCTGGATCAGGTTCAGGTTCCAGATCATCATCTAGCTCTAGCTCGTCATCAAGTTCGAGTTCTAGTGGTTCGGGTGGTTCAGCTGGTTCATCTGCTGGTTCATTTGCTGGATCTAGAGCTGGATCAGGATCTGGTAACTAAATTATAATATGCAGTTAATTTTCTACTTAAAGTGTGAAACTATAAGTATGTTGTATGTTGTTGGTTTGTCGTAATTAGTATCGTATGTACGAAATTGGATGAATAAATTGTCGCCATAAGTTACGTTTTATTTGAGTGTGTACCTAGCTTACTCTCTCAATTCAAGTATTTTGCCAAAAATAATTCTTCAATGGCCGGCCGTAGAATCTCTTTAGATTTGGATCAGAGCATGTTCAATTAATCGTAAATTGGTAATTTGAATTTGAGAATAATCTTAAAAAAAGAAAACAAATAAGTTTCCAAATTTTTTAATAAGTTAATCAACCCATATGTATGACCACAGGTTATAGTTACCAGATGAATATAGGACCAGATTTTGATATTAAATATTAATTGTGATAGTCATATACTGAACTCTAAAATTAAAGGTATTCACAAATCTATGACAAATTGTTTAACTCTTTAAAAGTTCAAATGAATCCAGTGTTGCGTCATTTAAGAAAGAGTTCCATGTTTTTGTTACAAAATTTGGACTTCCTTTTCAATTAAAAGGAGTTTTTCAATTATATTTAATCGAGTTAGTGCACCTAATGATGATAGTATGTATTGTAAATAAATAAATAGAAACGTCTGGATGGTTTATGAATACCGGTGAATATGTTCAATATAGATGAACCAAACCGAATAGAAGACATGAAAGTTTTGATATGAAATTTAGTTACAGTTAGATTTGTTTTATTCTTATATGTATCCTCACCATGTAAAACAGTACAAGCGTCCACTTGAAGAAGAAAACCAAACCGGGAATCTACTGATTACCAATAAAAATTATAAAATACAACAAATAAAATAATAACTTTCTTACAATACAATCCAACATACTCGAAGGCCTACACCAACCTCAGTGTAATTTGGCCTCTCTAGGTACATATTGTTCCGCAAAACCTAACCCAATGATTAAAGTGTTAAACGTCCTAATTTTTTTTATTAGTTATTGCTGTTATAATATCAAAATTCCGTTATAATAAATGAAGCAATGCATTAGGACTTAAGCATGGTAGCTTCAAGACAAAGAATCAAACAATGGTTAAATAGTGCTATGTATATAAGTACTAAACTTAACAATGGTTAAATAGTGCTATGTATATAAGTACTAAACTTGATGGATCCTAATTGCTCACTCCATGCATTATTTTTTAAAAAATATAATTCGTAAATCAAACAGGATCTCGCAAATCTTTTCTTGCCTAAATAAAATTTTAGTCTGGAAACAAAGAATCTTCCCTATATAAAAATAAACAAAATAAGAATCATCTCGAATAAACAAAAAATAATAACTAATAAGGGAAGAAATATGAAAAAGCCAAAGCTAAACGTTTCATGTAAAGAGTAAATCCGAAATACCAAATAACGAATTCTTATCAAATTCTCTCTCTATATTACTTTAAGTGATGTTTTAGAGAAAATTTTTTTGTTTCACTTACGTGATGTATATATTAACTCTATATTTTACGAAAAAATATTTTTATAAAAATTATTAATCTATTTTTAAAATGCAGGAACAGAAGAACAATCAAAAAGGAACATACCAAATACGTTTTTTCACAAATAAATGATAGAAATATAAAGGAAAAACAACCATACCACACAAATTTATAAGATTAACTGTGCACACAAAAAAAAAAAAAAGAAAATGTAAGATAATTAGTTTTATTTATCTTCTTTTTTTTTTTGTCAACGAGATAATTAGTTTTATTTATCAAAAATAAATAACGATAATCAGTTCTAAAAGAAAATGGTGAATGTATCAAATAAATAGCAAAGCACCGTCCAAAATTACTGGGTAACGCCGGTAGATACAAGATCTGGAAAGACTACAGTCTCTCCCAATACTTCCGGTTCCCGGCGAGAGATGGCCCATCCCTTGTCTTTAATGGTGAAACCGTGACTTGGGGAAGCGGTAATTAGAGAAACGTGGAAACGGCACGCAGTTTTTTTTTTATGAACATGTCATTCTCTCATCGCTTTCCCAAAACAGCCAATGGTGGTGATGGCTGTGGTCCGCACGTCCTCCCACACATTATCCTGTTTCAATATTTGTATTTGTTTATATAAAATTATTATTACACTGATTAATTAAAAAAATATAATAGAGCTCTTTTTTAGATCTGAGTATAAAATCTCAAATTTATTTTGACCAAAGTGAAAATAATGTATCAAATTTTATTACACGTCTACTTGACCCAGTGCGGGCCAGTCGGCAAAATCATACAAAATCACTAGTAGTATGATTTAGTAAATTACTTTTATCACTATAATTAAGTAGTAAATTACTTTACTAATTAGTTAGTAGTGTGTTCTAAAAAGCGGTCTACGCGGTGTCTACACTCCGACTAGACGTTAGGCTCTCATGTGATGTCTAGAGCTTGACCGCCTAAAATTACATAGAACTTGTTTAATGTATTTTTTTAATTTTTAATTAAATTTTATTTATATATATAATTATAAATATTCATATATTATTTAATATAAATATAAATAAATGATTTATCTAATTTTTGTTTATGATTTCATATTTTTAGTTTTTTCTAAATATTTTATATAATTTTTTTATATAATATCATACTTATAATGTTTTATGTTGATGACAAAAAAAAAAAAATGTTTTATGTTATAGACGTTTAAACCGCCTAAAAATTGCCTAGCCCCGATCAGGGGTTCTAGGCACTAGGCGCTGGGTCACTGTCTGCTTAGCGTCTAACGCTTTCTTAAACATTATTACACATTTACTGTTTAAAAAAAAAAAAACATTACTACACATTAGTAACTTTTTTATTTATTTATCCTCTTTTGCTATATGAAATTCGAAGCCACCCACCCTGCTGTAAATACATACACCATTACATATCACAAGAATTACAACTTATTGATAAAAGTTTTTAAATGCCACCGATTATAAAAGTTTTTGTTTAATAAATGTGAATGTGGATTGAAGATAAAATACACTTTTTATCCACAGACCAAGCCTTTCGAGCCGGACTTTGTTTTATTAAACCACTATCCTAAAAACAAACCACACCCGGCGATGACCTAGGCATGTGGTGGTGTTTATGAAGTTTAGACAAAATTAGTTGTAAGTCGGTCGCACGTTCTTGTTTACCATTTTCTAATTAAATTTTGAT